GATAACTATCAAAACGCCTGCCATTTGATAGAAATAAATATTACTATTAGGTCGAGATGTTGGTTGTCATCTGTAACCGCCCTCGAACCAACAGATGCGACAAATTTTCTGAAGAAGTTATCGAGATAAATTAACGCTACAAAACCTTAAAGATTGCAAGTCTGCTCAGCAAGCCTAATTTCTAGCCTTCACCTTCAGGTAAGTGGCAACTTAAAACACTTTACAAGGGCTATTAGCACTCATCTTGAAAAATTGAACTTACTTGACCATCATTTTGTGATTAGGAGTACAAAAAATGCTCAACCGATGCATGTGAATTTTCTTTAAACACGAAACAGTGATTCACACGAAAAGCTAAACTCATTTTTGGGATTTCTGTCATTATCATTTTCTGACCCTCAAGAAGAAAGAAGGAAGATGCGGTGGTGAGCACTCTGCAGGGGATGTTCTGACTTATCGATTGGTTTATAAGCATTGATAAGATGCATCGTTTTCGTTTTTATCATAGGTAAAGTGCCAATCATGGGCCCAGTAAGATAGATGTTAGAATGCTCTCCAATTACTTGCCCTCTTTTATTAATTTTTTTAAAAGATAACTGCAGATAACTAATCTCTCCTTTTATAGCTGACAATTTTTTTACCAAAATCCATGCACAATAAATAAATATTGCATAGGTATTTCAAAGAAGGATTGCCTTCAAGTGAACATGACTTAGCTAGAGGCAAAGATCAGGAATTAAAGCCCTCATCAAGCAGTGCATCCCTCTTTTCAGTTTAAAGAAATAGCTTAGAGAAACTGCTCCAAATTAGATTACCTACCTGTAGGTATCATGGTTTATTCATACATACACACACACTCACACACACACACAGCTCTAGTAACTTTCAACTGCACTGAATATTTCCCGTATTTATTATTTCTATTGGAATTTATAGTCGCTGCAACATCACACTGACCAAGGCAACCACGATTTTTTACAGTTAGGAGTTTTCTTATTGGCCAGTAGCCAGAACTACCGTTCACTCACATTCTGACCAATAGTTGCACGACCTACACTATTAGCCATTTGCTAATTGGTTAGCGTGTTTTGGTTGCTCGTCTGCTTGCCGTAGGGAGCTTGGTGACGTGGCCGATGTGTCGATAATTCAGAAGCGTTTTTGGTGTTTTTTATTTGCTCTCGTGTGTGATCCGGGTGAGATGCGTGTGAAATTGGGTGACCTTATGTGCTAGCGTATAAGGCAATATGGATAGATGCATGAATTAATTAATGGCCTTGAACAGGAAAGCGTTCACCTGATAGTAAGAGTTGCTCCAAATCTTGATTACCAATTACGTTTTCCATTGTTCTCTCGCACAATTCGCATGGATTGTTTGTATATTAGCTATTATTCTGGCGTTTTTGATCTTGGGTAGAATTACTGTTAATATTGGAAATATGAAAAAGGTCAGAGATTTAGTGGCATGACCTCACATGAATTGCTATGAATTGTGGTTACCCCGACAATTCGTTTGCTCTTAACCCTGAATTAATGACTGCCATCGTTGAGGTTGACGATGTTTTTTCTCGTCATATATATCTAAATAAATAGGCATCATTTCTATCTGTGCAACGGCAAGAACACAATATACTTACTTAGTTTTCTCCCATGTTATCAGCACGAACCTCAGTAAAAGTAGCAGAGAAAGTGGCTGAGAGTTTGAGGTGTACGGTAAGATGAGTTTGATATTAAGTAGGAGAGTAGGGTGAACAGGGAAAATATATCGGTATGGATGACACATCAATCCTTGAGCGAAGCCTGCGTTGCATTGATGAACAATCGTGCAGTGGTGGGCATTCTACCCAATATAGCAGTTTGAGAGTCGCTCAAATTACAAGAGAATTTTCCCATGTTAGTTACTACAACTACTAACGCCTTGTAAGTAACTGTTATTTCAACAAACAATTTATATATCCAATACATAATTGCAAATTAGAAAATTTCAATCTGAGGAACCCAAAAGGACATGCTCAACTTGTCATGGAATATAAAATAGATTTAAGGGATCAAAATAGGGCTTACTATGGACCTTCAAACACCATCAATAATTCTTAAACCTACCATTTAAAAAGTAAGTTAATAATGACGATGATTCATTCTCACATAGGAGGAACTCGGAACAGTATGCGAGAAAAATTTATTTATTTTGAATGGCAGGTATTTTGATAGTTTTCATTAGCTCTTTAGCTTACTTCGGGCTTAGCAGAGAGGAGGAGGAACATCAAAGCGACAAAAAGTCGAGAGTAGGGACAGAATAATGATTACCAGGTGTGAAAGAGTCAGGCAGGCACAAAGGCAGAGTAAGGGTAAGATGACTACTGTGAGAGGGGTAGAATATGGAATACGGCATCGCACACCCCAATAATGTCATTGTGTTGGGACATGGTATTTTGAAGTCAAAGGTCAACTGCCGGTCAATAGACTTTTTTTGCCGTATGAGTATACTTTGCCCATGGTGCACCATGTGGAGGTAAGCCTAACGCACACCTCTGCAAGAAAAAAAATAGAGCTCAAGAAACGAGGTCCATTCAATCAAGGCATCCTGAAACCACTCATAAGTGAATCTCGTGTTCTGCTCTTCACCCCGTTGAGCCCCAGTGGGTATTGATTTTGCAACCACCACTTTAGCAGGTACACATGCCGATCATTATAACACAATTCCATTACCACTGATCTATTTTTGTCATTCGGTTGCTTAATGCCCATTCACGCAATGTTGTAAAGGTGCATTATAAAATATTCCGATCTCCACCCATTGACCAGGATAGACGAAATCATGGTTTTGATATGACCATTTTGGCAGAACTGAGATGACCAGTTAAGCCATAGAGACACAAGAGAGAACTTAGCAATTACCCAGCACAAATGACCATAGCAAACGCTATTCCTCCCATACATCCTGTTTCCCAATTTAGTGTGGCGGCTACTTAGCTGACTTCGGAACCATATTCATTTTAGGAGGGTTTTTCGCCATGGAGAGTGGTGAGGTTAAGTCAAGACTTATGTTTTGTGCTTTGTAGACATCTTGTCAGTAGAGTATTTCAAAGATGTAATAGAGACAGACACAAAGGTAGAAAAAAGGTAAGCTGAGTACTATGAAATTAGTCGAATACGACATACAGGGCGGGGGGTGATGGTTGTTGGAAGTGAGAAGTCAACTGCCGGTTAATAGACTTTGTTTTGCCGTATGAGTATACGTTGCCCAGGGTGCACCACGTGGAGATAAGTCTATCGCACACCCCTTACCTCTAATGTCACAAAAGTTTGTGAAGTTATTCGGCGGCATACCATTATCAGCATAATTACCCGATGTTTCATCAAAATACTGGCCTAACCAAAATAATATTTCAAATTTATTGTCTTGGGAGAATTTAGGACTTATTTGGTATGTTGAAGCAGAAATGGCAAATGTGGCTTTATGACGAATCACTTTCTTAAAAGCAATATAGACATCAAATTGACAGCCACATTTTTATGGAAAGGAGATTCACCCTTTATATTTCCACAAATCGACATAGAGTATGTCTGGTGGTTGGTCATTTCAAGGTGTTGCATCTTTAAATGGTCATAAAACAACGTAACCTTTCGCGATCAAAAAATGTTCTCGTGTACTTACCACGGACGAGAACAGAGGGTAGGAAAAGGATTCGATATTTATAAATGGCAAAGCGATTAATGTCCCAATTATACCAAAAAAGTATAAAGGTGCCTTAGATATGAAAATCTAATGATTCATGATAACACGTTATACCTAATCACGACTAAGCATATTACGAATGCCAGTAATTGGCCACCTTTCTACTAATTCGAGCATTGAAAGATAGTGCACATTCAGAATTAACCGAAATTAAATATCTCATATTATGTCACAAATCCAATTAGTCGAGGGTTTCCATCTAAACCCATCATGAAGAGGAAGGACCATGGAGTCTCCATTGGGAGAAATTGAAATTCTATCTTCCTTTTGTTTACCGGACTTAATAATTCTACACCACTCGTTGTGTTTTCGCTGATCGTTCTAGAACTTGTTGGCATTGAATTCGAAGACTTGTCCGCTTACTATTGAACCAAAATTACAGAGGCGTGTTTACAAATTCTCTTAGCGGATTAATCTCGAGTTCCACTCAAACATTTAAACACGCAAAAATAACAATTTTATTTAGGTTATCCAAAATACGAAAATCAATTGAATAGAGCCGCATACCTAAGTCTTTCAAGCCCCAGTTAAATAGTCTTTAGGATAAATCAATTTCAATGTGGCACTATACTTGATTAGGGATTTGTAAATAGACTATCACATGACCAAAGGCGACATTTAAAGGAATTTGAGTCCAACTGACCAATCATTATTCACTAAGCTCTGAGCCAATTAGATTTGCGCGCCTAATTTTCCTTCTACTGCCGTACTCTTCCTATCTATTCACTGAAAATGTGCTTGAAGTGCTTAATCCTGTTTATTTTGATACTTATTTCTCGTTGCTCCTATGCTGAAGTGCTTAAACCGAAGGAGATTTTTCTTCGTGAGCAGCTCATGGACCACCTATTTAAAAACTATCAGAAATATGAAATTCCTGGGATTTTCAATAGGACTACGACCGTGGTTACGGTCTATATGACAATTACAGAGATTACCTCAATCGATGTACGCATGATGGACTACACAACATATCTTCTTCTTCGACAGGAATGGCAAGATCCACGATTGGCTTGGAATCATATCCCGCGTTTTCGGAATTATACCAAGAGCCTGTCCTCCCCAAGGTTGAAAGATCAGCTCTGGCTGCCTGACTTGTTTTTCCGGAATGGAAAGGAGGGACGCATTCATCAGATGACCTTACCTAATTACTTGACACGAATCTCACCGGACGGAAATGTTCTCTACAGTCAGAAGATAACAATGCGTTTTTCTTGTCAGATGGACTTAAAAACATTCCCTATGGATGCTCAAACGTGTCATATTAATATCGGAAGTGTTGGATATTCTGTCAACGAGCTGCGATTTATCTGGCGTGCTGACCAACCAATAGAATTGGCCAATGGAATGCAAATAGCCGAATTTAGCAGTCCAGAGCGTGTTGAAGCTCTTGATTGCAATGATTTTCCAACAGATGAGAATTCTTCCTGTCTAACAGCTACATTTGTCCTGTCAAGACAACTAGGATCTTGGTTCTCTAGTGTCTATATAACGAACTTCCTGATTGTGATCGCTTCCTGGCATAGTTTTTGGGTGGATATTGAGGCCCAGCCTGCTAGGGTGTCTCTGGGATTGCTAACACTCCTTGGACTAATAACACAGGCCTCTGGAATTTCTGCAAACCTTCCACGAGTATCGTACATAAAAGCTATTGACGTGTGGAACATCGCTTGCATCACTTTCAATGTTAGTGTGCTGATTGAATTTGCAGTTGCATCGAATGTGCGCACAAATCCTGGAAAACAACCAGAAAAGTGGCGGTTGAACGCTAGGGATGCGCTGAGAGCAGAAGTCGAAGGATGGTGTATTGGATGTCGAAAGGCTTTTGTGCAACGTCAGAAAAACGCTCGTGGAGGATCAGGAAGCGATCTGGAAACAGCTCTTATCCACGCTATTTATCCCGATGTCGCAAGTCGAGCTAACCTCTTCCCAAATGATGTTCTACAACCCGACGAATTGAAATCGAGACGAGATGAAAGCGCCGAAAGAGAGTCAAGTGATAATGACAGCGAAATAATCGATCTAGGACAAGTTTCAGATGATGGAGAAGGTGAAGATGTGGAAGAAAAGAAGAAAATGAAACCTAAAAGGAGAGTGCCAAAAATCGACGTCTACAGTAGATACCTGTTTCCACTTTGTTTTTTCATCTATAATTGTTGTTATTGGTCTTATTATTTAGTACTTGTGAAGAGACATAAATAATTTAAAGAAATAAAAAAGGCGAAAAAGCATCCATTATTCCTACCGATACTTAAACACACATTTTGCTTTGAAAAAAGGTTGAGAAATAAAGGGAGTTTTTAGGAAGCCAAAATTTGTACATTTAACTCTCAGTTGGTTGTTACAGCTGAGTTTTAATTGATCGATTCAAGGAAGACAACGAATTTGGAAACTCGAGTGTTTCGATTCTCATAGTGACAAGGAGATATAGTTAAAAAAGCTTTAATATCACTAATTAACAGCGGCACGGAGAAATTCGTTTAAGGGCGTATATAGTTAGTCAATCAAATACACTTTGACAACCATTTATTTGAGGAATATTTATCAGAAACTGTAGTATTTGAAATGGCATGAACACTGAAGTAAACACCATTAGGTTTTAGGGCAAAGTTAATTGAAGTAAATTTCGATTGGTTGAGCTACCGCGCCATTTTCAGTATCCTATCGACCGCCACTCGTAAGTCCCCTTTATTGCTCACCTGTCTAGCATAAGCGAAAATTAGGCTATTCAAACGCCAACCCTCTATGTCCAATGCTTGCACACCTGGTCTTTCTTTCTATTGGCCACCCACCCCAGGTAAATAACCAATCGCACTTCAGTGTATGCTTACATTCTTAGATTAGATGCATTAGTCTCTCCGGTGTTGTTTTAGCGAAACTCATACCTCAGAATCCATAAAGATGTTGTCCCTCTTTCTTCTTCTCCCCCTTGCTCGTCTAATTCTTGCTCAAACTAATGAAACCTTGGGAGGGGCTAATTCTACATCTATGAGAGAACAGATCATGGATTACTTATTTGAGAACTATCAAAAGCACGAAAGACCAGGAGCTGCAATCAAGGAGCCGACGGTGGTAATTGTCTACATTACAGTTACTGCTATCACATCGGTTGATGTAAGAATGATGGAGTACACTGCAGACATGATGCTAAGACAGGAATGGAAGGATGTGCGCCTTGCCTGGGATAAACACCCGATTTTCAAGCAATACAATAGAAATCTCGTTGCCCCTCAGCTGAAAAATGAGCTATGGTTGCCTGATCTCTTCTTCCGAAATGGAAAAGAAGGTCGACTGCACAAGATGACATTGCCGAATTATTTGATCCGTATTTCTCCAGATGGAAATATCCTCTACAGTCAGAAGATAACCATGAGGTTTTCATGCCAAATGGACCTAGCTAACTTCCCGATGGATAGCCAGGATTGCAATATGAACATCGGTAGCTATGGATACGAGTATTCAGAGCTTCAGTTTGTTTGGAGGAATGAAACACCGGTGTCAATGTCTTCAGGAATGCAAATCTCAGAGTTTAACAGCCCAGAAAATGTAATTTCCTACGATTGTAGTGCGGAATCGTCAACTTCGACTGGAAATTACACTTGCTTGGAGCTGAGATTCACCCTCTCTCGTGAACTTGGGTCCTGGTTGTCTAGTGTCTATATTCCCAATTTCCTAATCATTATCGCGTCATGGCACAGCTTTTGGGTAGATCTTGATGCCAAACCTGCTCGAGTTACTCTTGGATTGTTGACTCTTTTGAGTATCCTGACTCAAGCATCTGGTGTATCAAGCAGTCTTCCTAGAGTATCCTACATCAAGGCTATCGATGTCTGGAACATTGCTTGCATTATTTTTGATGTCGGAGTGTTGATCGAATTCACTATTGCTTCACATGTTGCTCGAAGGATCAAAACAGAAGATTGGAAGGACGATGTCCGCAATGCGGTTCGTCATGAGTTATCGAGATGGTGTACAACTTGCCAACAAGTATTCTATCAGCGTGGTCCTTCGGCATCTGGGATCTATCTTTCATCAGCTGGATATCCCGAAGCAAGTCCTCGCAAATACATCGACTCGGCCAACGCTACGGCTTTGGCTTTAAAACGAGGGAAATTGGAGTTCTGTGAGGAAATGGAACGAATTCTCATCGAAGTCTTCTTACCTGAGGAGATGAGCAAGTCCAAAATCTTTCCAGCTGATATCGGACAGAGTAAGGCAGATCTTCAACAGAATATGATTACTACGGACTCTCTTAACGCGGCCTTGCTACCTCTTGAAGAAGATCATGATTTTCCCGTGCCAAAGAGTGAAGAATTGCCCACGCGGAAACCGAAGAAGATATCGGAAATCGATGGTTATAGTAGATTTCTTTTTCCGGCCTGTTTTACGCTCTACAATTGCTTCTATTGGCTCTATTATTTAGTGCTTGTTAATGAGAAAAAATAGTTGTGATCATTCCCCACCTTCCTTTGCTATTTAACGTCAGTAGATTTCTCTCATTTCAGCCATCGCTCTTCAATCTCTTCAACATTTCACCCAACAATTTGTAGATTTTTAGGTCGGTAATAAAGATGTCAACACGATCTGCACTTTCCTGGGCCTTGTCAATTTTGACGGTGTTTGAAGTGTGATCATATAGGGGGAAGTTATTAAGGAACATACGGTAGACACGGAAAGAAATTGAATTAACTTTCAGTCCGAATAACAGAATTTTTAGTTCCCAGTAATAGGGTGTCATATTGTTGCCAAAATATATATATACATATATATGTAATGAGGGGTGTGCGATAGATTTACCTCCACGTGGTGCACTCTGGCAACGTATACTCATATGGCAAAAAAGTCTATTAATCGGTAGTTGACTTCTGACTTCAAACTACCAAGACCCCACCGAATTTCATACTCTACTAATTAAACAATACTCACCTTTTCTCTACCTTTGTGCCTGTCTGTCTCTTTTACGTCTGCGAATCATTATTCTGTCCCGCCACTTTAGTGTTCCTCTTCCTTTCCGTGAAGCCCGAAGTCAACTAAAGGGCTAATGATACATATCTCTGAAGCACGAAGTCAACTAAAGGGCTAATGATACCTATCAGAACGCCTGCCATTTGATATAAATAAATATATTTTTGAAAACCCCGAAGTCAACTAAAGGGATAATGATACCTATCATAACGGGAAGTCAACTAAAGGGCTAATGATACATATCATAACGCCTGCCATTTGAAATAAATAAATATATGTAATGATTGTCGAAAATCAATATCCTAAATTGGCTCGAGAGCTGTACAGTGTAATTAAGCACGTTCACAATTTCAATGCCCCGATATACACTAATTTATCTAATTATAAAGTAAATAGCTCTACCTCAGAATCTAGAGGTTGCATTAGCAAGTTTAAACTCCGAACTTATTTTTGAAATAGGGAACCAAAGTTCTCATTAACAGAAACCCCCCAATTCTTCGCCGTCATCGTCTATTTAACCTCTCTTGATATTCTTTCTCAGAAAAGCACAAACAGCAAGACTTAGAGCACTTTAACATCGGAGCCCTCCCAATTTTCCGTTAACAATTTGAAAAAAATAGCTAACGGGATTGGAAATGAAGTGTACGCGAACAACTCAATGACTCCACTATACTTGAAACCAATGTTCAAAAAAAATTAAAGTCCTTACAATATGATAAAGTAGTATATTCACAAATCATAAAGACAAAGGGGATTATTGCAAAGAAGATTGTAATCTCGATTGAGCTTTTTGTTGTCAATTATTACTCAAGACAAGACTTCCTGCACCAAAGAGTTCCAAGAATCTTGACGCGTACGGTTTGTACTTTGGATCTAGATGGATGGATGGATGGAAAAGAAAGCCAAAAAAAAGGAGCAGTTCAATAAAAATTTTACCAAATACAGAGGATTGTTACAAATTTAGTCCACTTAGTACCTTGTATTAAAGAACAAGCGAATGGAACAGCCCGTTCAAAGAACCGGAAAACCGAGTAGAATATCATCGGATCCTCGCAGAATTTGGCGGCGTCGAGGATTTTCCGCGGTGTCTCCGGAAGAGAGAGCAACTCCGGATATTCTTTACAGAACCTAAGTATATAGAGAAAAACAGGACGTAGCCTTCAATTTGACGCGTGTATGAAACAGAATGCTGCAAAAAGTGTACTGTGGAAGAAGCCTTGAAATTTCTATTTGAGGGAAGATACCTACCTAAGAGCCATAATAGGGTCTCCTTTAGCCAAGAAAATCTCCACAATGCTTTCATTCGAAGTTTCCAATCGCTGAAACACAAGAAGGAACCAACAAATGTTCACAGGCTTTGTGCCAGCTTATATATATATTGGGGGGGGGGGGGGTTGTGCGATAGACTTACCTCCACGTGGTGCACCCTGGGCAACGTATACTCATACGGCAAAAAAGTCTATCAACTGGCAGTTGACTTCTGACTTCAAACTACCATGACCTCACTGTATGTCTTATGCGATCACTTCCACCATACTTATCCTACCTTTTCTCTGCCTTTGTGTCTGTCTGTCTTTTTAACATCTTTAAACACTCTTCTGTTCCCCCCCCCCCCCGGACTTTTTTTCGATTTGATGTTCCTCTTCCTCTGTGAAGCCTGAAGTCAACTAAAGGGCTAATGATAACTATCATAAAGCCTGTCATTTGATATAAGTAAATAAATATAAATAATATCTTTGAGGAATAAGAGAGTGGAGGATTGAAGAGACCTATTTTCGCCATTTAAAACCGCATTTTGGCATTGAGCACTAAGCGAAAGGCAAATGAATATGCAGAGTTACACGTTCGACCCTTTGTTACCCCCCCCCCCTCCCACCATTGTGTTTATAGGACCACCTACTTCAAGCACTCCGTTTGAAGAAGTTAATTACTTTGTGGAAAAATTGGACGTTTTGTGGGGGAGGGGGTATTTGAGAATAAAACACTGAGGTATTATACAAAAAGTAGCAGGCATGAAAGCTGACCTGAAGCATATCAAGAGCTAATTGGCCAGCCGGAGGGAAAACGGACTCAAATGAGAGTAGTTGGTTGGCCTAGAAGAAGAGGAAAAAATTAAAAAAAAAACAATAGATGTTGCTAAAATAGCATCATACTGCCCAAAATACTGCATTCATTTAAAGTAGATTTAGTGTGGATGGTTTGTAGGAGAAAGTTGGAGTCACACAATGGCTCTGTTATTGGCCATAGCAGTGAAAAAAAACTGTGACAACTAAGTAAGTGGAGGTGGGTGGGAGGCGGGAGGTGGGAGGGGTAGTGAAATCAGTGTATACCACGTGCAATGTGCTCAGAGACTGTGGGCTATTTAATTCAATTTTGTGACTGTTGCAAATGGCACCTTGATTAATCTGCATAACATAGCGGAGACAGCGAGTAGACGATACTAGTGACAATTTGCTAATGCGACTAAACTCACCAGAGTTCACCTAATGTGAATTCTAACACAGATTAACTCCCTTTAACGCCCAAAGGGCCGTGTGGCCTTCTTTCAAAATAACTTCTCTTAGTACTAGACGCGTAACAGAAGGTGCTGTTGCCAATTGAAACATGTTCAACACGTGTCTATTGCCTTCGCCTGACACACCACCAGAAATCATCACGTCGGCGGCACTAGTCCGCTGCTGTGAGATACGCGTGAGTGCGGTTAGGTGCATTTTCGGGGAGGAGGGGGGTCAAAGTGTTAAAGATTATATTAGCGGCACAACTCCTACATACATTATTTTGGCAAAAAAATATTTTCTCCAATTAGCCAATGAAAACAAGCATTCAGAGGAAAAGCAAACTCACAATTTTCGTAGAATCAACAATTACTCCAGAGCGCAAAAGGTACACCAAACGAGAAAAATCGTTTGATTTAATTAGGCTCTCCATCAAAAGAGAGAAAAACATGGGCTGAAAAAGAGAAACATTTCAGTATTGTGCACACTACTTAAAGGTAGAATATTATTTCAGTAATACTATTCATGGAGGGAATAGACATAGTCATGGTCGAATTGATGAGAGTCAATCACTAGATTAAATGAATTAGATGTACTATCTATAAGTTAAAAAGAACTGCGTTTCGGTAGCACACTCACATCAACAATCAGGGAACGAGATTTGAGTTCAGTGATATAATGGAAGATGAGATGAGAGAGAAGTTTCAGTACTTTTGGGTTCTATAAGTTCAGAAACCGTATTGTTAATGATAAATTAACTACTTAACAGTAAAATAACTAAGTTTTGGCTTACATCCGAAGAATAATTCGCCAAAGGTACAAGCATAGTTTCATAGACATCATCAGGAGTGAAGACGAGAGGAGGTTTGTAGGGTCGTTGAATAGGTTCCGAATCAGGCATCTCCTAAAAGGAATCCGATGAGAATAAAACACACTCGAGTTTCACCAGTAGTATGTAACCCCTTTTTTACCAGAAAATTCGCATCAAATTACGATTTGGAGAGAGGATATATAACGCTTTCGAGGAGAGAAAGAGTAAATTGAGAGACTTATATCTCATGATTCGGAATGTGCGACAGACTTACCTCCACGTGGTGCACCCTAGGCAACGTATTCTCATACGACAAGAGTCTATAAACCGGCACTTCACTTTCCCAGTACTCACTTCACCTTATGTCTGTCTCTTTTACATTAGCGAATCACTCTTCTATTTCCCCTCTCGAATATTTTTGTGACTTTATGAAGCCAACAAGTGGACCAATGATAACGACCACAAAGTGTGACATTTGACATAAATAAATAAATCTCCTGATTCTTGCCTATTCACTATTGAAGCATTCGAGATTTGATAGATAGTTTAAAGCATTTCACTCGGTTAGAGATGAAGAATTTCCAACTTCTGTTTACCCGAGCTCATATCTGGGAATAAAATCTATTGAATACTTCACTACAGACTAATCACGCGGTCAATATACCTCTAATTAGAATTGCATAGGACTTTCTACCTTTGTGTCTGTCTCATTTTCTTCTTTGAAACACTCTTCTGTTCCCTCACCACTCTTGACTTTTTTTCACTTTGATGTTCCTCCTCCTCCCCACTGTGAAGCCTGAAGTCAACTAAGGGTATAATGATAACTATTAAAACACCTGCCATTCGATATAAATAAATATCCAAGAATAACCTAGAGTACTAAAAAACTAAAAGAAACTAACCAATCAAGCCTTCAATATCGTGGACATAACCTCACCCAAGAAAATCGAGGGATCAAATCAATTAAAGGAAACCACATGGCAAATCGCACTCATTTAAGAGAAGGTGGGCGATTCAATGCCTTCATAAAGCCACTGAAGCACCACTCTTGGCACGCCAACTTGAACTCCCAACTCAACAGCAGCAAATGCAAATGCGCTTACCACAGTGCGATCCGAATCGTTTCTAACCTGACTCCGCGGTTGATTTCGATGAACTCGTTGGTGTCTAGAAGCTCGACTCGCCGACTTTTGAATGTCTGCAAATCGAACGAGGAGTTGGTAGATGACTTCCATCTTGTGAGTTGGCTTATCCGCAGACGTCTGCTGTTGTTGTTCGTCCGATGAGGCGTCAATAAAGGACTGCGCAAGCTTCTCCACGAGGTCTTGACAGTACTGGCGCAGAACTGGCTTTGCTCCCTCTCGATTAAGGAGGCAATTGACCAGAGTAATCTTAAAGAGAGGGAAATGGAACAGGCCGTTTGCAGGTTAATACCCCCCCCCCCCCCCCCCCCCCCACCCCCTTACTAATGGTTACCACTGAAAAATATCACATAAATGAGACAATAGTTTGGCTAAATGAAAATCCGAATGTATTGGGGGAATCGGTGGAGCACTCAAAGATACGTGCCATGGTGCCAAAACATCAAAAAAGTAACATGAACCAAAATGAGTGCTATGTGAACGGTAGATCAAGTGGGATTTATACCTCTCGTAGACATACGCGTGGGTGTAAAGCAGTCAAGGCAATTTAATGTTTTCCTTTTCTCAAATTTAAATTTCCCAGATAAAAAAGAGAGAGTGGAACTAAGAGCGTCACGTCTTATTATGCTCAAAGTGTTCACTAAAACAGCCAAACTCTAGAAATCGCGAAACTTCAGAAAAATTATGGGATCAAAGAAATCCCTGTGTTGGAGGAAATAAATAAATAGGTAAGGTTTTTTTGAAAATATGATTCAAATCCGGTAATAAAATCATTTCGAAAGTGAATTAATCAAGGCGCTTAATCTAAACGTGCAATCCCCTCAAAAAAGCGACTTTTCTGCAGTACGGATAAGATCACCATTCCTTGAGAACACACTTCCAGTTTCAAAGTTTTGGCTGCTTTAAGGCTAAGAAAAGGAAGGGACGATTGAAATGTCATAGAGAATATCAGTCGCAACTGAAATACCCGATACAATGCGAGTACCTCAGATGGATCTGCAAAAAGAGAAAATATCAGCAAGTCTTCTGGATTGAGCCATGAAGTAAAAATTCCGATTTCAAGGACCAAATTTCCCCCAATCCTCCAATAAATTTTATGCTTGATGAAATGGAATAATAAACATGTTACATAAATGAACGTGCACATGCCTTCGAACAGGCTAAATTAACTTCTAAGATTCAGGACTTGAAAGATTCCATAAGTATAGATGCAAATTATCCTAGAATTATTGTTTTTTTTTCAGAGTAGAACATAATCGCATTAGTAGGATAAAGGAGTACGCAAAAAAACTTTTAGAATGAGTGAAAGTAAGAGGGCAGTGGATAAACCTACCGGATCGGAAATCAGTGCAGTGAATGCGTCCAAGTTAAGATCGACGGTCCACAAACAGCCTACAGAGGGACAAACACAAAATCATTACGAGGCGAAAAACGCAAAATAAGTTCATGCTAATGGAAACTACCAAGACTTCCGTCAATTACAACGTTCGGTGGAAATACTATCCAGGAAGGAGCATCTATAGAAACAAACAACTAGTAAATGGGAGAAAAATATGCGGAGATAATCCACTCTTGAAACAAATTTGGCAACTCACACAATGGCGTAGAAAATTCCGCGCTTGGTTCATGTGACAAAGCAGGAATATCTAAAAAATAAAGTAAAAGCTACTAAAATATTTAAGTAGGCATGATTACTAAACAATAGGGCTAATGATAAAATTCATAAGGCCTGCCCTTTGAAATAAATTGCTAAACAAATTATTATTTTCGGCCAACCTTTGCATGAAACGCAGACATCTTCCAGCGAAACTGGCGGCAAGAGAGGGTAGTGAAGTTTGGGCCCATCGGAAACTCCCTCATTTTCCGGACCGCCGGTTCCTGAAGCAGCAATGTCGTAGGCAAGAGAAGTTCTGGAATGCTGATGGTGGACTATAACTAGATCCTGAACGAAGGTTAAGGCTATCCGACCAACTTCAGGAACAACAAGTATGTGACGACGTTCCACAGTTCCTCGTCTAGAATAGCACAAAAAATAGGATAACCTGACCAAAAAAGAGAAGCGATTTCGGTTATAGGACAATAGAGCCTACCGCATTAATTGATAAAGAACAAGGTTGACACCGCCATAGGCACCTTTAGATAGGATGCAAGCGTAGAGCTGGCCATATCTACAAAATATGCGATAGGGTAATTACAAGATGCAAAGCTTCCAACTACGGAATGGTTCCTTTACGGGCATAAAATTGGCTCGGATAAAATCATATCATTTTGGAACCGTTTGAAGCCCGCCTGGTACATTAATCGAATAAACGTCTCTTGAGGGTTCGTGTACTACATCAAATGCTGGACTAAGAGCATATCCAGTCGATACCGCTTCTGGTAGGATAGTTAAGGTGGAATCTCGGCTAAAACCATCATACACAATCCCCTACATAGTAAAGCCCAACACCAAGACCGTGTTCAGACGTCAACAATCTGGCAATTTTGGGGCTATTGGGAGGGGAAAAAAGCCAATCATATGAGCACTGATTCTATTGACTCCATTCAGCCATTGGACAAGTCCACAACAAATCATTTTTTCCTCTATACTTCTAAAATAGGGAACAAACGCAATATCACCTACTGAGATGAATAGGAGTAAAATCTAATTCAATTAGAAAAATATACATGCAGTGAAGAGATAAGGCAAGTAAGGATTGTGAGGCATAAATTAGAAAAGGAATATGGGAGGATGGGTGTAGGGAATAAAAGCAAGAGAGAGAGAGAGAGAGAGAGAGAGAGCAACGATGATCGTGTGCAATAGTATAATCATCTTTACCATTGGTACATCCTACGTACAGAAGTGTGCTCAATTTCGGTTCAGCAAAGGGAGAGGGGGGGGGGTTAGCCTATTTCTAACAGATGTGGGACCTACATAGACAGCATTAGCTACGGGGGGGGGCTAATGATAAATATCATAAGGCCTGCCATTTGAAAT